ATTTTTGTCACAAAATAAAATAGTCTTAATAGAATTCAATTGTTTTTTTATTTACATTTTTAGGTTTTAGAAGATCTATGTCTGTATGACCTCAGCTCGTACAAACAGAAACGAGCGGGAAATTACAGGGTTTTTTAAAAATAAGTTTTTCTTTTCCTTCTGCAGCTTTTTGACCATGTGGCAGAATGTCTGGGCGACTTCATGGACAAGCAAAAAATCAAGGATAAAAAGCTCCCGGTTGGATTTACCTTCTCATTCCCCTGCACTCAGACCAAACTGGATGAGGTAAACAATGGAGCCAAGCTGAGGTCATGTGACGTTAACTGTGCTTCCCACAACACTGTGATGTATTGTGTGACCTTTTGTCCCACGGTGACTGTTTAACTAGCTAGTTTGTGCTTCAACAAACACTTTGGTTTTTTTAGACGGTCCCTAAAACAGTTAAATGTTTCTGTTACAGGCCGTCTTGGTCAGATGGACCAAGAAATTTAAAGCCAACGGCGTTGAAGGATCTGATGTCGTGAAGCTCCTGAACAAGGCCATCAAAAAACGAGGAGTAAGTCGGGCTTTTTTTTATTTTTTTTATTGTGCTATGATGAAACCAGTCAAATGTAAGAGACTAAAATCCTCTTCTCACTCGAGGACTACGAAGCCGACATCATGGCGGTGGTCAATGACACGGTGGGCACCATGATGACTTGTGGGTTTGATGACCGGCGTTGTGAAGTGGGCATCATTATAGGTGAGGACACAGATGGTGTTGGTATTCTACCTGAAGCTGTACAGCAGGGCCCTACATTTACCATAAACACTGTTCTACCATGAGAGGGCGCCAGAGAGTTTTCAATTCACAGCCTGACATCTTTGAGACACACCTCACTAAAAACTGAACCTCTTAGAATCATTATGTACTGAAGTGACTCCCACACTTTTTCTGTAGCCCCTCACCCCAATTTATAGGTATTATAATTATAGTGCCCCCCCCAAAAAAAAAAAACACAGACAACTGCTAGTGCTAATAAACTAATTCACACAAAACTGGTATTCAAAACGGAAATACAATTAAATAGTAACGTAACGTTCTCACTGTGGCACAAATAAAGATAATGTTTAAATTCAAAATTATTTACACCAAATGGTGTCCCTCCCTCCCCATTTGGGAACCACTGATGTAATTTAATTTTTAATGAAAAGATTTTCATTTCATTTACTCAGGAACTGGAACCAACGCCTGCTACATGGAGGAGTTGCGTCACATCGACACGGTGGAGGGAGACGAAGGCCGAATGTGCATCAACACCGAGTGGGGGGCTTTTGGGGACGATGGCTCCCTGGAGGATCTGCGGACGGAGTACGACCGCGAGATTGACAGAGGCTCCATCAACCCAGGGAAGCAGCTGTAAGAATGTCCTCCACGACAGACAGTCTTATTTGAAAAGAAAAAAAAAAGAACAAGCAAATAAGTTTTGTTTTGTTCTCCTGACTTTTGCTCAGGTTTGAAAAGATGGCCAGTGGGATGTACATGGGGGAGTTGGTCCGACTCATCCTGGTCAAGATGGCCAAAGAAGGTCTGCTCTTTGAGGGACGGATCACTCCTGAGCTCCTAACCAAAGGCAAGATTGAGACCAAACACGTCTCTGCCATCGAAAAGTGAGTGACAGTCGTGCCATTCCACATTTGCCACACGACTCCCAAGTGCAGGAAAAATAAAATTTCTCTAACTCTGACTGCAGGACTAAAGAAGGACTGAAGAAGTGTATGGAAATCCTGACCAGGCTGGGAGTGGAGCCCTCTGAAGAGGACTGTGTGGCCGTGCAGCACGTGTGCACCATCGTGTCCTTCCGCTCGGCCAATCTGATCGCTGCCACGCTGGGTGGCATCCTGTGTCGCCTGAAGGAGAACAGGGGAGCCAACCGCCTCCGCACAACCGTGGGCATCGACGGCTCCATGTACAAGATGCATCCTCAGTAAGTGTGCAGTCGGCTAGGATGTACAGTATGGTATATGATCTTTATTTTTGCTTTCAAGCTGTGGTTCCCAAATGGATCGAGGGTCTCCTCTGAGACACAACACATCAGCCTCTTATCCATGGATGTTCTCTTGCTCTCTGAACAGATACTCTCGTCGTCTGCACAAGACCGTGCGCCGCCTGGTCCCAGACTGCGACGTGCGCTTCCTGCTGTCAGAGAGTGGGAGTGCGAAAGGCGCAGCCATGGTGACGGCAGTGGCGTACCGCTTGACGGAGCAGGCGCGCCAAATCCAGCAGACGCTGGCCGAGTTCCGTCTGAGCAAATCCCAACTTTTGGAAGTGAAGAAGCGCATGAGGGTCGAGATCGAACGAGGCCTGAAGAAGGAGACTCACCATGAGGCCACCGTGAAAATGCTGCCCACCTTTGTCCGGAGTACACCGGATGGATCAGGTGAGTGGAGAGGCAGGCGAGCTAATTGCTACACTAGGGAACGGCATACAAAATTTGTCCTCCCTTTTGGAGAACGGAACGCCTAATCTCCCGCGTGACAGGCGGAGATACTCAGCACTGACTGATAAAACTGTCCCAGACCAGACGTTTCTGGATAAATGTTCCTACTAATGTTCTACTAATTCCTGTATTTGATATTAATTCTCTCCCTGCACGTAGAAAATGGAGATTTTCTTGCTCTGGACCTCGGTGGGACAAACTTCCGTGTACTTCTTGTTAGGATTCGCAGTGGGAAACGGAGAACGGTAGAGATGCACAACAAAATCTACGCTATTCCTACAGAGGTCATGCAGGGCACTGGAGAGGAGGTAATGACAAGTTTTGACTAAGTTTTTTTTTTTTTTTTTTACCATGGAGCTCAGTGTTTACTGTTGCTAGAATGACAATTAGTCTCTGTAGCATAACTCCTAGTCTCGCTGGCTGACATTTAATTTTACTAGCGTGACATTTAGTCTTACAAGAAGACTTTATTCCTGTGTCTTATCCTATTTGAGCTCTGCCTTGTCCTTTTTTTTATTTTCTTTTGAACGTATGACTTCTAAATTGCATCATGCTTGTATCTCTTCCAGCTCTTCGACCACATTGTGCACTGCATCTCCGACTTCCTGGACTACATGGGAATGAAAAGCGCTCGACTGCCACTGGGCTTCACCTTCTCCTTCCCCTGTCTTCAGACCAGCTTGGACGCAGTACGTTTGACGTCCCACGTTCAGAGTTGACTTCTTTCTTTAGTCCGAGGGTCTGTGTGTGTTTGACTGTGTTTGTCCTGTAACTGCGCAGGGGACACTGGTAACCTGGACTAAAGGCTTCAAGGCCACGGACTGTGAGGGTGAAGATGTGGTGGAGCTTCTTCGGGAAGCAATCAAGAGGAAAGAGGTAATCTGAGATTGATTTGTTCACATTAGCTTCGTTGTTACCAGAAATGTAGACTCTGAGGCTTTTCACACACATTAAAGAAATGTAGACTCTGAGGCTTTTCACATTATCACATTATCATTTAATGTGATGTTTGTAGTGTGGTGATTCTGCACAGCCACACACACAAAAAAAAGGGAACACGGCTGCTGCTTAGAGAAGGGATCAGAGTTTTGCTCAAACAATTCCACACTTCTACACCTGAACCGTTAATCTGAAATAATCCTGCCTTGTTAAATTAACTTGTGGTTGCAGCTTTACTGAAGTTCACCTGCTCCACTCATGTCCAGAGCTCTGTGTACATGTGAGTCTGTGACTCCGGCTCTCACTGACTTTGGTTTTGTCTTTACACTCACTGTGTACGTATTGTCCCTGTATACAGATACGGTTAAATAATAATTTCTAAAAAAAAAAAATGTAATCTAGTTGTGTACTTAAACCTGTAGTTTATGAAAAAAAAGGTCTAAAATATTTAATTGTTTTAAATATCGTGCCATTAAAATGAATTAATTTTTAAACCAGAGGTTCAGAACAGAGGCTGATTGACCTATTTTTTTATTTCTTCTTGACTTCAGAACAGAGGCTGATTGACCTATTTCTTCTTGATTTTTTGATTTGTTTAAAATGTGAGAATACAACATTATTATTTGTTTATTTTCAGATACAGAAGTGAATTTGTTAAGAAATGTTTTCTTTTCCCATTTTAATAAGAATGGAGACAGTGACTTGACTACAAATATTTGTTTAACTACTTCATAAGCAAGTGTGAATTTTTTTAAATTTTTTTTTTTTAAATGACCAGACCAATTGAACACGTTTGGGGCCACGCCCCATCATTTACAGTAAGGGCATCTACAGTAGTGTTAAAGAAACTATTTGGATTTTTTTTTTTTTAAACTAAAACTTTCATTACTTGAAAAGTAGCCCATGTTCTACCAGACTCTAGTGAGAAAAAACAAAATCACATCACAGCACACAGTGTCTGTTGATCCACTGCTGCTGCTGTGAGAAAGTCAAACTAAATAACAGCTAAGTTTCCCAAACCGACCGTGCAAAAATGTTCATATTTCAGCTCTTTCGTACATTTCATACCTTCCGCTCTGAGTCTCTAATATTGGTTTTACGATTTTAGATGGAGAATCCAGTAAGTATTAAGTGATTGTAAATGAATAACGTACAGGTAAAGCATTGAGAAACCAGACCAGTGCGTGTTATTGTGTCAGCAGCATGACGACTTAACACTTGAGGGAACAAAAAAAACCAAACCCCCCTTTTTGCAGAGATGTTGTCGTTGTTGTTGGACTGCGGTGTGGAGTTTATTTTGTTTGTTGTGTTGGGTGTGTCTGGGTTTGTCTAACTGAACTCCTTCCAAAATCGCTCGTGTACGGGAATATGTGTGTATGCATGTACTGCTCATTGTGGCTTTGGAGAGGCTGCCAGATTAGAGATTAACTCATCTGTCAACATTTGAAGACAATCGTCAATCATTAAATGCTTGATTGGAAATTTGAAATTGAAATCCAGATAATCAGCTAATTAGTTTTGACAAGGATTAGCCCGCAAGCATGGGAAGCATCGTCTTAGAGTGTGTGAGGAAGGTGAAACTGTGCCTGTGTTTAAAGCTGGGGTAGAAAAGATGTTGAGTTAAATGAATGGATTAGAAAACAGATTTTCAGAGCTAATGCTACTTAGCCGCTACATAAACCTGTCCCTTCAGTCCTGTATTTTACGACACTAGTACCGACTGTCACTACACTAGTACTGACTGTCACTACACTAGTACTGACTGTCACAACACTAGTACCGACTATCACTACACTAGTACCGACTGTCACGACACTAGTACCGACTGTCACTACACTAGTACTGACTGTCACTACACTAGTATCGACTGTCACAACACTAGTACTGACTGTCACGACATTAGTACTGACTGTCACTACACTAGTACCGACTGTCACTACACTAGTACCGACTGTCACTACACTGGTACCGACTGTCACTACACTGGTACCGACTGTCAGTTCTACTCCAGCTTCAAACTCAGAGAGAATCATTGTTGTTGTTGTTGTTGTTTTGTTGTCTTGTGTCTCCAAACTAATTCCCATTTCTGTATCTGTAGGAGTTTGAACTAGATGTGGTCGCCATCGTGAACGACACAGTGGGGACCATGATGACCTGTGCATACGAGGAACCCAACTGTGAGGTTGGACTGATTGCGGGTGAGTTAATGTTGGTGGTTTTTAATTATTATTATTATTATTAACATGTCTGATCCTGTTGTGTTGAAAATGAGTGGACGAGGAGGACAGGGATTGATGTGGCGTGACTGTGTGTCCTCAGGGACCGGCAGCAACGCCTGTTACATGGAAGAGTTAAAAAACATTGAAATAGTGCCGGGGACCGAAGGCCGTATGTGCGTGAACATGGAGTGGGGCGCGTTTGGAGACAACGGCTGCCTAGACGACATCAGGACGGTGTACGACCAGGCGGTGGACGAGAACTCGCTCAACGAAGGCAAACAAAGGTCAAAGGGGTCAAAGGGGTTTTCTGTTGAAGGTATTTTTTTAAAGTAGGTTTTTTCGCCATGGGCGTCTAAAGTGATGTGTGTGTTGTTTTTTTTATGTGATCAGATATGAGAAGATGTGCAGCGGCATGTACCTGGGAGAAATCGTCAGGCAGATTCTGATCGATCTGACCAAACGTGGCTTCCTCTTCCGGGGACAGATTTCAGAGACGCTGAAGACGAGGGGAATCTTTGAGACAAAGTTCCTGTCACAAATAGAAAGGTAATGAATCTAAATAAATAAATAAATAAATGATATAGTCTGAGGACGACAGTAGATATAGTGAATTCACGTTTAATTTATCAGCATAAACAATACATTTTATTCATGTCAATTGTCCACAGGACACTGTTTTAGCATTTCTACTGATGGATGACGGTTGGTTATACAAAGTACATGAACATGAACCTTCCACTGAAGGTCCTGTTGTGATGAGTGTCACTCTGGGTCACACACTCTTCAAAAGACTCTTTGTGATCATCATGGAAATCCTCCAAAAAAATTAAAAAAAATAAATGACCCAAGTTCACACAGTGCAAAACAAAGAAATAAGAATAATACATTTGTTAAGTGTTTTCATCAGAAACAAAGACTGAAAAAAAAAAAGTCCAAACATTCAAATGAAAATATGTGTATAACTGAAGGACACGCATTGCACTCTACACCAGGGTTTACACACAGACAATTAACACAGTGGTACTTTTATTTACAGTATATACTTTTCAATGTATGATTAAGTAAAAAATACAAAATTGGAGCAGTGGTGGACAGAGGTTTCAGGTTTGAATCCACCTTCCCCACACACTGCGGCGCTGGAGTTGCAGTGGAGTTCTGAAAAAAAAAATCTGAAAAAATGTGATTCTAAAAGTGAATAAACGTCAAACACACACGTCGTGTTACAGATGTAGTGACACTGACTGTTGATTTCATTCTGGTTTTATTTGAATGGATGCCTGTTTGACGTCAAGTCGACTCGACTCTCTGAGTGCTGTCATTATGACTAGATATCAGTCAAGTTACCGTCTCACCCTGCCAGAAAAGGTTTGTTATTTTTTGAAAGATTCTTCTTGAGTACTGCAGAGTATTACTGCTCCAGAATATAGAATATTTTTCTGACCTGTAACAACTGTCGCTGTAAAAACACGCCTCGCTGCTGCTATGATTTAGAGGATAACTGTAGAAACGCCACATTGTTCAGGGGAGACGTAGCATCTGGGGGAATTACACGTCTGGGATTGAGGAGGGGGGGGGGCTGCAATGTGATGACTGGAGTTTACACACTCTTTAAGCCTACCTTGGCCTTGGACAACAGCTGTGAGGTATCCAGTGACTCTCCTGTTGTCGGCCCGACCTCTGACACCTCCTTTCTCCCCTCCCCTTGTTCTCCGCAGCGATCGTCTGGCGCTGCTACAGGTCAGGGCGATCCTGCAGCAGCTGGGCCTGGACAGCACCTGTGACGACAGTATTATCGTTAAAGAGGTGTGCGGCACGGTGTCCCGCCGCGCGGCTCAGATCTGTGGTGCCGGGATGGCTGCGGTGGTGGACAAGATCCGTGAGAACAGGGGACTGGATCACCTGGAAGTTACTGTAGGCGTAGACGGAACGCTGTACAAGCTGCATCCACAGTAAGTCAGAGCAGAGACGACAAACAGGAGGTGACGTGTTGGTTTTGACAAAACGTTGGTTCACAAACGCTACAAAAACGTCAGCGTTCAGTACATCCTCGCTGGGACGCTACGTCAGACCTGTGTCTGACATAGTCCTAGACCCGACTTAGTCAGGAAAAAAGTTACATTTTTGGAAGTATTCATCTGTACAGACAACAGAAGCACATTTGAAAATTTTTAAATTTTGAAAATTAATTGTAATATTTAGGACAGGGGTCTCCAACCCCTGGTCCACGGACCGGTGCCGCTCCATAGGTCAATTGGTACCAGGCCGCACACTTTAAAAAAAAAAGTACTTTAGTTTTACTAATCTTACTCTTTACTTTTTTACATTCAAAGATAATCTGGCAATAGTCTGGAAAATGTTTTATTTCAAAAGTTTAATGATCCTTCAATGTTGTTGAGGTATAACTGCATATTTGTACAAAAAAGGTTAGGGACCGTGAATTTAGATTACTCCTTTCCATGACACCATTATGATAGGAGGTGTTGTATTAAAATGTACTATATATATATATATATATATATATATAACCAAACCTTAGTAGAATAGTTCACTCAGTACTGTGTGCAGTTCATATTTTCTCCACTTGCTGCTCATCCTTCAGATGACAGCTGCAGTCGTTGCTTTTCCGTGCCTCCTGACCACAGCTTCCTGTCGCCTTCTCACCTCTTACCAGTTTCTCGCGGATCTTCCAAAAGACGGTGAAGGACCTCGCCCCCAAATGTGACGTCACCTTCCTGTTGTCCGAGGACGGCAGCGGTAAGGGTGCCGCCCTCATCACTGCGGTGGGTTGTCGCCAGAGGCAGCTGGACGCTCAGCAGCAGTAGAACTCTGAAGGAGTTCCCTCATGTTTTGTCTCTGACCACCACTACCACTACTACCTGCTGACCCCTACTTGACCTTCACCCTGCCAATCTCACAGACCCCAACTGCATCTCACGCTTGCGGCCGTGACTCCACCTGTGCCCCACCTCCCCTCCACCCCCCCTCCTCACAGCCAGAGAGAAATGCTGTACGCATAGGAAATTATCTAAATGAATTTGTCTATATGGAGGCAGGGGAGGAGGGCGTTTATTATTTCCATGTTTGTACATTTTCCTCACATGTTCGTGTCCATCTGGAAAGTATTCTCCTTGGGTGTGCAATATTTGTGTATTGCTTATTTTATTTTTATATGGAGAACAGATATATTACTGTATATATATATATGAATGAGGCCACTTTGAATTTCAGAGACAATTAGGGTTTTGCAGCGTGAACAAACAGGAAGTGTCTGCACTTTTTATACGAGAGTGAGAAAAGGCAGCAACTGACGTAACTTAGAAAAAACACCATTTCCAAAAGAAAAAGGGCTTGTCGCAAAAGAGTCGAACGCGAGAGTCACGGCTGTCGAGCGCACACTCATTTCACGTGCAGTCGCACATGCTCAGCTACTAACCCCATTTTTGTGTAACTGTCAGCGTAACTCACTAACTAGCGTTCCCCTGCGTCACCCATTTACTCCTCGAGAAGTGAGAAGCTAGAGCCGAGCCGGACGCTGGTGTTGGCGTGAAATCGTATTGATATTTGTGAACTGCTGTTGCTTTCGGTGTTGTGTTGACGAAACCCCACGTCTCCTTTGTCGTGTGTGTGCACAAATACTGTACACGTTTATCGGGGCCCAAGCAAAGTGTGAAGAATACCAAGAGAGAGCTTCTGTGTGTATTTTTGTGACTGAGCCTCAGTGTGTAGTGTGTAACAACCTGTTGATTTCCATGTCCAAAAGCTGTGTCAAGACTGCATGCCTTACACGGAGACAAATGCACTGGTTATTTTCCTCTTTCTTTTCTTTTCTTTTCTTTTCTTTTTTTTTTTTTTTTTTGTACATCAATAGATCTGTGACCGACAAAGTGAAAAGTGAATTCATTAAATTATATTTTATTGTGAAGTCACTTTTGTCGTCGTTTTCCTTAAAAGCTGAGCCTGAAATTCCAAAAGCAGAATGTGAGGGCAATTATAGATGAGTAATGCTAATGCTAATCTTCCCGTCCTGCAGCTTCACTTCATACCAGTATTTTTTGATGTAGTTGTTCTGGTATTTGACTAAATTTAGTTTTCTGAAAACTATATTTTTGTCCCTTCTACATGATAGAGAGTCATAAATTTACCAAATCTTTACAGATCGTCTGTGAACTCACATAAAAACATTTCTACGTAAGGGATTTTGCCTTTGGGTTTTTTTTATTTGTAAAAAAACAGAACCAGAAGTAAAATATAAGCATAAGTAAATTAGAGAATTACAGAGAATTGAGCCCACTGGTTTTGGCCCGCGGGCCATATGTTTGACACCCTGGATCTATATACTATACGACATGAGCATAGGTAATTTAAAATGACTCTATACATTTCCTACTGTGAGGGTTACACATGTATGTGTGTGTGTGTGTGAAAGACAAATAGAGACAGTAAGAAATTGAAAGACACACACACACAGGAAGAGGAAGAGGAGAGAGACAGACAGTACGATATAGAGAACAACCTGAGTTGTTCCCATGAATTATTTAATATTTTGTCCAAATACTGTATTTCTACTTCCAAATTGTGTATATAGGAGAAACAGGAGAAACTTCTGCTACTGGTGAAGTGCTTTCAAAGATGTTTTCTGTGCGGTATACGTATACGCCGGTTGCATGAGTATTACTGCAAATATTTTATAGTATTGAGTTTTACTTCTGGATCTCTGAGAGAAACGCAGAACACAGAGAATTAAAATTTACTGCTCTCATTCGCAGTGTGAACAACTCTACAAGTTGAAGGTAAAGAACAACAGTTCTTGCCTGATGTTTACAAATGTAAAACTATCCACATTCCTGCAGGGGGGGGGGTTTGCCTGATGTTTACAAATGTAAAACCACCCACATTCCTGCAGGGGGGGCTATAATTGTAATGCATGACTTTAATGTTAAAGATCGTTGTTTAACATATTGTACATTTTGATCCTCTTCCTTGGTGAAATGTGTTTTCACTGGGACTAGTAAAACTTTTTTTTTTATTGACTGCTCAGCAGATATAGAAATTGCACATCGACAAAGACAGGTTTGAGCGAGCTGTCAATCACCAACTGTCACTGGCCAACACAAAACTGCACTTTTCACTGCACTTCCTGCTGTTCCATGTACTGTAGCGGTACGCTTCTGACTAAGATGTGGTGAAAATACAAAATGGAAAACACAACGCCTACTGTATTCCTATGATTTAACTTTTTTAGACTAATATTCAGCCATTTTTGAGGCTCAGCCAAACTTGGATAATTTAGCTGATTCCCAACTGTACTCCACTTTGGGTCATAACTACAGTAGTTGCCCATATCTGTTGCTATATTAAATACTGGGAGATAATATTTCAACTTTAATAGACAACTTTTAATATCTTTACGACAGCATTTTTCTTTTATCGGAAGATGCTAACCAACTGGGAAAGTTCTACTCCGACAACAGGGGGCCTGTTAGATGAAACATCTGTTAAAAACATGAGTAAAATGCCTTCAGATGAACCTGGTTCCGTTTTACTTTTCTTGATCCACTTAAAAGTACCCAGAGCAGAAATGTTTATGTTTTTAGAAAACAAATGCGTACTGCGTCTTTAAGAAACCTGGCAACCCCTTCTGTGCCAGATTGCAACATACACATACTGTATATCTGTGGTTGGCCTGGAGCAAATTATCGAGTTGGTTTTTTTTTTCTTTTGTTTGTTTCTTTTTGGCTCTCGGAGGGAAAACTTTGAGCAGCTATGTAGAGCAAATACCGTGTAATTACGCCTTCATTAATCATTCGTTTCATATTTCTGCTTCGTATTATACTTTGTTCCAAACACAGAACGTCAAATGTCGATGTTTAAAACCCACGTAGTACAACGTCTTCGTCTCGTATGTGTACATGTTGTGCCCTACTTTCCCCATGGGTGTGACCATAAAAACTTATTAATTGGAGCCGTACCACAGGGACTCGGACTCGGACTAGCTTAGCAGACGTTTAGCGTCAGCGGCTCCACATCCCTCAGGGACTCTCTTCTCCCCGTGTGTGTGTGTGTGTGTTTGTGTACGCGCCTGTGTGCGTGTGTTTGTCTTACAGCTCCTTATCAGGTTGGTTGCGTTACTACACCCTGGGCTTCCTGCTGCATCCATCTGCCTCAAACTAACAAGCGGCGGACTGTCACTGCGCACCCGAAGGTACGGTGTCACGGTAAAACATCATGCAGTCGCACGACTTTTTAAAAAAAAAAAAATGCTGCGCGTTAACGTTTACAGACGGCGCACGGAAAAAGGGTGGCAGTCTTGTTAGCCGTGGTGCTAGCTGTTACTAGTTGTGTGTACGGTGAATTGATGCTAGCTGGTACTTCAGCTACATTAGACGGGTGTTGATTGGAGGTTTTTTTTTTTTTTTAACGCGTTGCCAACGGTTAATCGATATTTCACTTTTCACCCTGGAGTCCAATATGAGGCTAGGGCGTTGTTTGCATGAACACGTCCGTGTATTTTGTGCGCATTTTCGCGCTGCTACTGTCCACAGCTAACGGGGGCTAACGTTAGCCCGTGGTGGTTAGCGTTCTGTGGTTAGTTACCTGTGGAACGGGTACAGGCTGCAACACTGTCGTTCCTCTGCAGTGTGTTTTTTTTTTACCTCACATTGCTGTGGTCTTTGTTTTGTCAATTTTATGGCTAAAATGTGTGTTTGTGTTGCTGGCGAACAGGGTGGTGTTGTGGTAAAAACATTGTGTACTCTATTAAACTGACCCCGACGAGCTGCTGCATGTGCACACCAACGGCACGTGTTGGGGAATTTAAATGTAAAACAGGTGTTTAATGGTGATGAGGGACCTTTCTGATGGTTGGTGACCTGCGGGCACCCGCGTCACAGACGACCCCCGTGATCGGCCGCCGATAAAACGTGTATATATATAAAGAATAAATCTTAAAAATTACTCGGCATTTCAGAACAACATCTTTATTTTGTATTTTTGTCTGCATCGATTAAACATTGCCATCTGCTGAATATAATTGTATAATTATAATTGTGACTAGGTTGTCATCGATTTCAATGTATCCATGCGGAGCTCCTGCTGTTCCTTGAAGCTGTACACCTCCAACTGTGGAGGTGACTGAACTTTACACAGATGTCGTTTACATTAAAAAAAACAACTGCTGTCATCTTGGTCTATTTTCCTGAACAGTTTTGCTTAAAAAAAAAAAAAATTCAAAAAAAGAAGAAAAACAATTTGCATTGGCTCTGTCTCCAAACCTGAACACACTACCATACACACCATAAAATGTTTAAACAAACCGTGGTTTAATAGTAGTGTCCTGTCCTGTAGTCCGTCTGATCTGGCTTAAAGCTTCACTAAGTTTTCATCAAAACCCACTGATTTTCGTTGCTGATCAACAACCTCCTGATTGCTAACAACTTTGGTTGTCGGTGGTCAAAAATGGCCTCATCTCGTTTTGGCCTGACATGGTTTAAACCAGTGTTTCCCCAAATTTTATTCTGGGGATTCATATTTTAAAAGTCACAAATCTTCGCGACCCAAGTCAATAGACATTATTCGTAAACTCCTGGGAAAGATGATGCGAGATGAAAAAATTCTTGTGACCCACCTGAGGGCCACGACCCAGTCTTTGGGAAACAATGGTTTAAACTACCCCCACTCTCCCCAATAAACAACAAACTGTTTGTCATGTACGCCCAACAGACCTTGTTTGGATAACATACTGCAGACTCAAGGACAACTCAAGGGTGAAATATTTGTTTGTCTGATGAAGTGTTGATGTCATGCCAACAGTTTCATAACGTATTACCATTGGTTCATTTATCAGGTTGAAACGGACTGTGAATCTCGTGGACTTTCTCAGGACAAAACCGGCAGCTCGTCTCCACCGCCCGGCAGCAGAAGTTCAACCGCTTCCAACAGATCCATGACTGTTTGACGGGACACTGCCCCACCGTGGCCCATGCACTGTACCCGTTTCCCTCCCCGTCCTTCTTATCCCTCAAGCTGACGCAAAACCCGAGGCACCTTCCTCCCCTCCCCCACCCCCACCCCCAC